ATCCAAAAGGCTCCGAGACAACTTTGAACGATTGCTTGACGTGTTTTCATTTGGCCAAGAGCATTCGAGGCACATCTCCAAGTGCCTGTTGTTAACAAATTATTTTTTATTAATTTCGGCTCTGCTGTGTAATGAAATAATCAACTCTTAGGATAAAGCATGTAATTTTAGATATTGCTGAAAAGGTGGTTAGCTTTGTCTATATAAAGTGATTAAGGGAACTTGAGAAAGGGGATTTTTTCCTGACTTTAAAAATTACATAAAAATATATTTAAATAAATTAACTAAATGTTAGCCAATTAATATAAGTAATGTACATTAGTTCTTTTGGTGCACATTAAACCTTAACCCCGGTGGCTTTTATTAAGACTGAAAACAATATTGCACTTTCTACCAATCCCAGGGGAATCTAAATCACCTAAAGTATCCCATTTCACATTATTCGCTCAACTTAACCGCCACTTGGGATTGCTCTCGAAAGTAATCATAACTCGAGGTGGGCCAAAAAGAGTCTTCAAATTATGATTGGATTCAGCTTCCGCATAGCCAAACTGCAGCTGCGACCCCAAATGGAGGAGTCCCAGGATCGCCGCGAATCGAGAATTGCATCCAATTTCGCCCCGGGGCATTTGCCACGTGCGTGCTCCATTTCTTCTGCTTTCGGCCAAAAGGTGCCAATGTGGCAAATGTTTTGTGCTTAACATTTTTATGGCTGCCATAAGTTGGCCGGAGTGTGGTAAACGCTGCTGCCACTGCCACTGGCCAGAAGCCACTGACCGCAGGCCAAACCTATGGCAACTCGAACCGGATCGTGTCTTGACACTTGAGGTATCGGTTTCATTAGCGAAATGTTTCCGTAAGAATGCCAAAAGGTCGCAATTGATGCCATTTACAAGGCGATTGCCATGGCCATGCCACCACACCATATATGTGGTGCCATCTCGAAGGAGTAGCGGATCGGATCGGTTCGGTTATTACTCGTGTATTAGGTTTCCCCCAAGCTCTCAAGCTGCTGGCTGCTGCATCCTTATCCTCGCCAGGCATCGGCGTGCGATTTGTTAACCCGCCGCGACTCAATAAATTTATCAAATTGAAAAATGCGCAATCGAAATCAAATCAAAGTGAACAGCGAACGGTCTCCAAAGGAGTGTGTTGATTTTTATGGAATTGTGGGGGAAACAATTCGGTAAATCGCTTTGCAATCAGCAGCCCCGGATTTAGCCCAGCCCAGTACTAGACCGCTAACCCTGGTGCTTAGTGCTACACTCAAAGAAAATAAATTAATTAATTAATAGGGGAAATTAATAAATGTAAATAAAATAAATAAATAAATAAAGAAATTTAATTATTCTTTCTGATGAATTTCTTGACTGTTTTTAATGCCTTGTTTAAAAATGAAAGATTAATGTCTTTAATCGGACTTCCATCGCTTGAAAACATATTGTTTTAAATTACTTATGTTTCTAATTGATTTTTATAGAACATATAATTTTAGAAATTCTAGAAATATTTCTTATGGTGCAGCGGTATCGTATACAAACAACTTGTGACAAAATGACGAAATTTATGTTACTTTTTTGCATCGGCAAAGTGCAAACCGTTGCCGCTTTTTCTGCGGGGCGGGCAGGTGGGCAGTCTGTCAGCAACAAATGCAAAGCGCCAAAAAGTGCGACACTTTGTATAAATTGTGTTGAAAACAGCAGCAGCAGCGGGAGCAGCTCAGCTTAGAGCCAACTTGGTCGTCTGTCCAAGGCAATTGCCAACTGGGACTGAACTCAACTGAGCTGCAACTGGCGATCGGAGCTGGCCAGAGCCACACCCCCTCGGGCAAATGCAACAAATTATTGTCATCAATTTTTAGATGCAAAGCTTGAGGAGTGACATTTATTGAAGTTTGGAGTCGAGAGCAGGGGCCGCTGGCCAGGCTCAGTTCGGCTTTGGTCCAGGACGTGATTGCTCCACATTGCAGGCGGCTGGTAATGTTGATGATGATTATAGGCACGGTCCGGCATGGTTTTTCTGCGGTCTACACTGCGGAATATTTTATTATTTAAATTTAACGATCGAGATAGAAAACAGAACCTTTTAATGTTAAGTTTATCTAGAGTTTTGGAAAATAATATGAATTTTCTAGGAATAGAGGATACCTAATGAAGTGAAGCACAAAATAAATTATGGTATCTACTGAAAAATATAATAACTAAGAAGATATCGTAGTCATAGACTTTCTAGAAGTTTTTGCAATAAATTTTTATTATTTTAAATCTGAATTTGTAATTTTGCCCACCTAAATATTTTATAAAAATATTTTGTTGGGTTTCCGATTCTTCTCTAATTAATTTCCCTATTTTTTTTCCTGTGTATCCCAACTTGGTCTGTTCCTGGCCAGTTAGGAGTGACACGTTCGCCGCTGATTGCTAGGAAACGATGGCAACAAGTGGCCATCGGCTGGCCATCCACTTAAATGAGTTTCTGGCTGGAAGTTTTCTGGCTGCTTTAGTTTTTTTTCCCGGATTTTGGATTTCGGACATTGGTTTTCAGTTTTTGGTGGCCGCTTCATTAGCAGCTCCCCGGCCTGAACCCGAAAAAGTAAAAGCCAAAAAGTTATGACCATATTTGTGCTAAATTATGAGGCCCTTTCATAAATCAGGCACTCGGGCAGCGGCGACCTAGCGAAAAATGCCAAGATTATGGCTGTGGCAATGTTTAGTGTGGCACCATTAGCTGCAACTTTGGGGAAAACTGGCGCAAATGGTCAACGCGGTGGAAATTTACATTGTGTGCCTGTGCCCGGCAGTGGACAATTGCAAGTGCTCGACTTACTTTAAACTGTGCCATTTATCATATGCGAAAATATTTTGTCAGTCCGCTTTTGGCCTATTGCCATTTTCACCATTTCCATTTGGCCATCTTTCGCTTTTCAATGAGACCAGAGAGACGGGCACTGAATCTCTGTACTCTGTACTGTACTCCACTGGTGGTTATGTCGGGACCCGTCCCCCAAAAAGGCTACCGTTTTGGTTTTCGTTTGGCATATGAGTTGGGGGACTTGGAGATTTCGGGGGATCTGGGTGACTTCGGGGGCGCAGTTACAGTTGGCTCGTGCATGTCTCGTGGCCAGCACAACAATAACTGAACAACTGGACAACAAAAGGCCCCAAAGAGTCGGATGTACGATCACTTGCATTACGGTTACGAATGGTTCCAGTTTCAGTTGTGCATTTCTCTGCCACATACCCGAATATGAGTTACTTTCCTGGGGAAGTGTAGCTGCCTCTATCCGCATGGAACGGGGCCATGATCTCTGGCTGAGCCAGGAACTTTCGGGGTTTCGAACTGAGAAACAATTACCAGGGTGCCGGTGTCGGGAGTAAGGACACTCCAGTCGATCTGCGACCGAAAGTGGGTCGACTGACTATGCAAATGAGTTATCGCTTTTACGATAGCCACTAATCATAAAAAGTTTTTCACTGGCTTTATGGTATTTTCAAAGGGTGTAATTAAAATGTGTTGGAAAAATCATATTTTTTATTTATTTATTTATTATAGCCTCTGGATTTATTAGCAGATATTTTCTACAAGAGAATCATTTAACCATTAAATTTTAACATGGACCTTATATATCTATTCTTTTTGTGAATTTGGATGTTCCGAAAATCCCCATCATTCTTACATATAACCTCCAGTTGTCGCCATGTTCTGCAAGTGGGTTAAGTGAAGTTTCTGCATTGCAAAAGATTACTGTACAAGAATGCGCCTGGGCACTTATGAACTTTGGGGCTCTTCTCGCTAAATTGACATCGCATACGCAACCCGGGCCAGCCAATTAAAGACTCTACGTGACCTCCAGTTGAGAAAACAGAGAAGATAAACCCCGATGACAAAAAAAAATAAGAAACCAGCCCTGCCATGTTGAGCTTTCCACGCTGCCACTCTTTTTGTGCGAGATACGTATGCGGTATGTGCAGCTAATTGACCAGCCCCAGACGATGATGCACTTCATCAAAAAAATGCCAAAAAAGCTGAAGCAGAAGCAGCAGCAGCAGCCACAAATGACAAAAAATCCCAAAAAAAGAGCGAGTGAGTGAGACTTACTCAAGTGGCGGGGCATTACGTCAACGTCAACTCAATTTGGCGGACAACAGCAGGGGACAGAGTCAACTGCTCTGGGAATCGGAGGATGGGGATGGGGATGGTGATCCGATGGGGCTGAGTGCGGGTCAAGTGCTGACGCATCGGCCAAATCCAGTAAAGTGCACCAAAACATACATAAATGCTTGAAAAATATAATGAGCGGAGTGGTTGCCGTCGATGGCAGCATCATTAAAAGCGATCATCTGTCAGGCGGATCGCATATGAATGAGATTTGTGCCTCGTTTCAGCCTCGCCATTGTTTCGCATTCATTGAAATTGTAACTTTATGGACTTGTAATAGGTTAAATGTAGAAGTTTGTCTTGCAATTAAATTTTATTTAATTAAATTAATGGATTTATATGGGATGTTTTAAAGGAAATGCACACACAAAGTCTTAGGAAATATTTTTAAAATAATTATTTTGAAATAATTAATTAATTAATTGTAGCTAGAAAAAAATTTAACCTTTAACGATTAATAAATAAAAAAATAAATAAATCTAGTGGAAAATAGGTTTACCTGCACTGTTCATTTTATTATTCTCTTTATAGAAATTATATTTCAAAATATCATATCCACATAAATTTGCAGTTTGCAAGACATTTATGCTAGCGTTTAATTCAGCTGAATTTACTACCCGCATTGCATTCAACGAAAAGTTTCGAGTCATTTGACTACCAGATTATTTCCACGTACTCATTATTCGCCACTGAAATAACTATAGTTTATGGCCGATATCAAATAACCAATAGCCAAACGTTTTTATGCCGATATCGGCAGCGAACTTAATACCCACTTAGGCCGTCTTTAAAAAGCCAAACGAGTGTGTGGGCGGCCTTAGTTGCTTACAGAAGCCCAATCAAAGATGTCTTCATCGGTGTTGTTAATATCACTGCTAATGGGATGTATAGTTGGTTTTGTGGCCTTTCAAATTGACCACAAGGTCTATTGTAGTCTGCCCTATTGCGGAAATAACAATATAGTGTGCCAAAAAGCTGTGAGAATAGGGTAATTTATAGCCAGGATATTAGCACTATAATCTTTATTTCTCAGAACTATAGTTTCCTTTGTCGGCGCAGTACTAGACTGGTAGACTTGGACAGTAAGCAAAAGGATACACTGCTTCATACCGTGAATGAATTTCGGAATAGGGCGGCCCAGGGACTGACCCGAACTCTTCATGCCGCTGGGAAAATGGCGAGGATTTTATGGTCCTCTGAGCTGGAATACTTTGCCAGAATGGACGTGATGAGCTGCATGCCCACGCCGCGTCCCTGTATGACTTCCCCGAATTTTCCCAACATGGGCAGCATCTTCGATACTGATGGTTATATGGGACCCAAGCTGCAGAGCTTCGGTCGTATGATGAATATGATCACAAAGTGGACAAAGGAAGGTCGCTATGTGACCCGTCAGCAAACGGTATTCCTAACCGATCGCCGTGATCAAAGGTGGGTAGATTTGATGATGGCTAAGTAACATTTTTATCGTCAAATATCCCTCATAGATCCGTTTTTCGACCTGCTCTTCTGATGGCCGATCGCAACACTCATATGGGCTGTGCAGCAGTCAAGTTTTCCTACCAGCGTTTTAACTATTTGTACATGAGTTGCACCTTTGCCACCGTAAACATCCTGGAAGCCCCCATCTACAGGGTCGCTCAAAAACCCGGGATATTCTGCAAGGAACGCGATGAGTATTACAAAAATTTGTGTGCTACTACAGAAGAATATCCGGAGAACAAGAAATACGTTGAATTGACCAAATATATGACGTAATTGCCTAAGGAAATTAGCACAGTTTTGAATTATATAAATATGTTTTTGAATACACTTTTTATTTGGTTCTTATTAGCAAAGTGAAAGTGTAATTGCTATGTCGTGATAAATAAAATAAATCAAAAGTTTGACGCGACACCTCTTTCCCCCGGGAGCAGTTAATAGCCACTATGGAATCAGCATATAAGTTGGAACTGGAAAATCTTTACCACATTCAACATGGGTCCGTTGCACCTTCTGTTGGCCATCTTGGTTTTCTCAACTCCTGGCAGGGAAAGCTCCCTTCATAATCTTGTTCATCACCTGAGTAAAGAGCTTAAATTTGACCATGCTCTGGTTTTGGGAGACTCGGATCCCAATTGGCTGAAGGTCGTGTGGCAACTTCCTGTTCCCTTAATCCAAATAAAAGAAAAACATAGGATGGACTTTAATTTGGACAAATATCATTCCCACAACTTCCTTGCAATTGCTTTTGTGAGCGATTCTCCAGAGGAAATACTGGATAGTTTAGAATTTAATCTAAAAACATTGAACACACGGCCAGTGCTTTTGGTTCTTAAGAAAATTACAATACGAGTGCATCGAATGTTGGAATGGTGTTGGAACCATCAACTACTTAATGTCGTGGCCATTGGACCGGATTTTGAGGTGAGATTTTATTTATTTTTTCTAATTAAATAGCTCGAAATTGAAAAGAGTAAAAGCTTCTATTCCTTTTTCTTTCATTGTCGAAGTCTCTACATTTTTTTCGTTTTTTCCTAACGATGATGGAGTCACATTCGATTCAGTTACTTCTTCTTTTGTTTTTAGTTTCTCTGTCGTAGTTTGTAATTTTTCCGTCGACATTATATCATCATCTTCCTCATCTCTTAAAGCATCGCAAATAATTTGACACTCTTCTTTAGTTTGAAAACGATTTGGATTTCCACCGCAACCACCGTAGATAAATGTGTCGCAGCGGTTGTTTATAAAGTCATAGGCAAACATTTCGAAATTTCCATCGCAAGGACCGGGATTTGCGATAAACGAACACATTTCTAATATTGCAAAGGCTTTAGTTTGAGATTTGTTTAATACGAAATTAGCTTACCTTGTCGCCGTGCGTTAGAAATTCCAACACCTATCAATGAAATCAAGATTTGGAAAATATGCATGACTGTCAAATAATTTTGGATCAAATTAATTTCTGAAATATTAATCACACGCCATGTGGGATTGCCTTTATATTTTCAGGAGTCTTTAATTCTCTACAGCTATACACCGTTTCCCATCTTGCAGTTTATTGAGAGGCGATTGGATGCCAGTACCATAATATTCGAATCACGTTTGGGAAACCTTCATGGCTATCGATTGCCCATCGCTTTGGGTGGATCTTCGCCTCGTTTGATTGTCTATCGAGGCTTGGATGGGAAATTGATTTTCTCAGGACCTGTCGGTAATTTCATGTTGAGTTTTGAGCAGCGATTCAATTGCAAACTGACTCTGCCATATCCTTTTGATGAGTCGGTGACTACGCCATCTCGGGAACTCATTGGGGCCGTGCGAAATGGCAGTGCCGAAATTGCTCTGGCGGCTACTTATGCTTTAATACCGTTTACTGGATATTCGTACCCTTTCGAACTGATGAGCTGGTGCCTCATGATGCCTTTGCCAGCGGAGGTTCCTCACAGTCAGCTTTACAGTATGGTTTTTAGTCCTACGGCATTTTGGATGACATTCTTTGCCGTGGTGATGATTTCGCTGATCTTATCCATTGCTCTTCGCGTCCACGGATATCGAGTCAGCTTTAGTGAGTACTTCCTGCACGACAGCTGCTTGAGAGGAGTCGTGTCTCAAACGTTCTACGAGGTCCTTCGAGCTCCTCCCTTGGTGAGGGGTATTTACCTGGTGATTTGTTTGCTCGGACTGCTGATTACCTCCTGGTACAACTCGTACTACTCAACCTTTGTGACCAGTGCTCCAAGACTTCCAGCCTTCACCAGTTATGAGAGTATCAAACGATCAAACACAAAGGTCGTGGTCTGGAAACCGGAATTCGATATGCTACTCTTTTTGTCCGAAAACATGGAAAAGTACTCGTCCATATTTCAGTTGCACAAGGACTACCAGGAGTTTTTGCATTTGCGAGACTCCTTTGACACCAGATACGGCTACATGATGCCACTGGAGAAGTGGTCACTGATGAAAGAGCAACAAAAGGTATTCAGTTCACCGCTGTTCAGCTTGCAGGAGGATCTGTGCGTTTTTCACACGGTGCCCATAGTGTTTCCCATTGCGAATAACACGATATTCAGGGAACCTTTGGATCGTCTCATTTTGGAAGTGACCGCAACGGGTCTTCTTAGTCACTGGCGCGATATGGTCTTTACGGAAATGATCAAGGCTGGTCAATTGCAGCTAGCAGATCGAGGACATCCTAAGGAATTTCGGGCCATGAAAGTGGAGGACCTGGAACAGATTTGGCATTGTGCGGGTTATATGCTTGGCCTGGCGACATTCGTTTTTCTCCTCGAGTTGATTTGCTTCTGGCAGCCTAAAATTTGGTTAAAAATTAGAAAAAAAATTGTCGCTTAAAAATTAAGAACAATTAGGAAATATCAAAAATTTGTATGCTTATAATTTCCGTAAAAAATAAACAAGCTTTTAAAATAGTTTAATTTCTATAAATGATTTTCTTTCTTTTTTGTTAAATTAGCTTTTTATTTCAAGGACTGGCACAAACCCCTAGTATAATTATTATAATTACGAAAAAATAAAACCAAGCTTGGTGTTAATTTCCCAACCAAACTTGTCCGATTGAGGTGATTTCACTTGTTTTGGCTGTAATCCCAGGGGAAATGTTTTTTGGTTTTCTTTTTTCGCCCGTCGGCTTGCTAACGTGTGCTGCTAATTGGAATTAACCATTAGCCACGTCGTCGGCGGATTCATTAGCAACCCTTTAAATGTGCAGCGGCATCAATCAGTGTCATGCAGTTGTCCCTCGACCATCGTGATGAATTGCCATTGCCCAATGTGGATCCTCCTTGGTGGCCTCTGGCTGATTAGCCTGGTCAGTGGCGCAACGGTAATTGAATTGCTGGGTAGGATAAAGCTGGAGTCCGACTTTGAGTACGTGCTGCTCGCGAAGAACAGGAACTTTAGTCTGCCGGATGAAGTTTGGAATGGCAGTACGTTGGCCAGAAATATAATGGATAAAGTTCAGGTGCCTGTACTTCAATTCAACGAAAATGTGAGCTACTTTTTGCACAACAGCATCAGCAGACGTTTGGTGTCCTTGGTGTTTTTAAGTCATGGAAATCTGGAAGAGCACAGAGGTCTGCTAAAAGCTCTGGTTGGAAATCTCAGGCACATGACCACTTCTCGAGTGATTTTTCTAATACAATCGGAGGCATCCACTGAAGTGTTGTATGAACTGTTTAGGGATTGTTGGCGAAAGAAGTTATTGAATGTGATAGTTATTTTCGAGGACTATGAGGTATATTTAAAATAATTATTATTTATTATAATTATAATTAATCATGTATAAATAAATATATTATTTTTCCTATACCAGACAACCTCCACCTTTTACAGCTACTCACATTTTCCTATACTGCAAATAGAAGAGCGGGTCTACGAGTCCAGTCAGCAATCTTCATTAATTTTTCCCGATAGACTAAGAGATTTCCATGGCTACGAGATGCCCGTGATTTTGGGAGGCACTGCTCCGCGAATGATTGCCTATCGGAATAAAAAGGGAAACCTCGTATACGATGGAACTGTGGGTCACTTCATGATGGCCTTCCAGCAAAAGTACAACGTACGGTTTGTCCAACCTCTGGTGGCCAAAAATCCATTGGACTTTGCGCCCTCGATGCAGACAGTGGCTGCAGTGCGAAACGATACGGTGGAGATTTCTATTTCCCTGACTTTTCCGACAATTCCCCCCTTTGGTTTTAGTTACCCATACGAGCAGATGAACTGGTGCGTCATGCTGCCCGTGGAGGCTGATGTGCCGCCGTTTGAGTATTATACCAGGGTTTTTGAGCTGGCTGCCTTTCTGCTGACTCTGGGAACTCTTGTGATAATATCCTGTCTTCTCACCAGTACTTTGCGCCTCCATGGCTATCCTTCGAGGATCAGTGAGTTCCTGCTGCACGACAGCTGCCTGCGGGGAGTGCTGGGTCAATCATTCGTGGAGGTCTTTCGGGCTCCCACCCTTGTGCGGGGTATCTATCTGGAGATCTGCGTGCTGGGCATCCTGATCACCGCCTGGTACAACTCATATTTCTCAAGCTACGTGACCAGTGCCCCCAAACAGCCCGCCTTCAGAAGTTATGATGATATTTTGGCCTCCAAACTGAAAGTGGTAGCTTGGAAGCCGGAATATGCGGAGCTGTTTGGCCGACTCTTGGAGTTTCGGAAGTACGAACCCATGTTCCTGGTGGAACCGGACTTTAATCGCTACCTCGCTCGTCGTGACACGATGGACACACGATATGGCTACATGATCACCACTAACCGATGGGTTTTGATCAACGAGCAGCAAAAGGTCTTCTCGCGACCACTTTTCCAAAAGCGCGACGACTTTTGCTTCTTCAACAACATACCCTTTGGATTCCCGCTGCACGAGAACTCCGTTTTCATGGAGCCGGTGCTAAAACTGATCATGGAACTGGCCGAAACGGGACTGACTTTTCACTGGATGGCCACGGGCTTTTCGGAACTCATCGAGGCGGGTGAAATGCACTTTGTGGACCTGAGTCCTCATCGGGAATTTAGGGCCATGCAGATCCAGGATCTACAATACGTTTGGTATGGATATGCCTTCATGGTGGTATTTTCATCTCTGGTTTGGCTGCTGGAGATCCTGGGCCACAGACTCAAAACTAAACCCATTTTCCCACGACGATTAATATTTAATACTTAATGACCATAAAAATTATAGTTAAACACACAAAAAATAAATCGATTTTTAGTTAGTTGTAAAGGGCATTGCTTTTGCTCCCCTAAACAAAGGGAGCCTTTGCTATTTAATGACTACGGCTAGAGTAGTTTCACGGTGCCAGCTGCTTTATGGTTATTTGTGTAGCCATCAAATATGACTTTCCTTTCCTTTAGTTTCGCTTAGCCCACTCGGGGATCGGATGTTCCCGATTTCCATTGTGCAAATATTTGCACAGCAGCTCGCCGGCTCAAAGTTCAACATCAAAAGCAATTAAGACGCGTGCTTGCCGCAGTGGCAGCTGAACACTGAACACCGAATACCCAGTGCTTGAGCTCCCCCAAAGGTGCGCTGATGTTAGCCACCTGTGCGACGGCAACTGGCGCCTCTTGAAATTCCCTAATCGACATGTTTCGATCTCAAACGACGTGGCCGGCAGTGGAGGCATCACCATCAGCGGTGCACGGGAAGAAATATAGTCTTTTTTGCTTTGGTAGCTTAAGATTAAGATCTGGGTCAATCATAGATCTGTATTAAAAAAAAATCGTTTTTTCGGTTGGTTAATTTAAAGGTTCTTATTTTGGGCTATGATTTTTAAGTGTATTTAATTTTAAATATTTAAAAAATAATGAAAATATTTTAACCAAGAAAAAATAATCAAATCTGTACAACCAAAATATTTATTTTAAATAAAAATCTTTAACTGAAGAATTCGTGTTTCATAATTTTCTTACCATTTTCCAAAGACTTTAAAATGTTGAATTATGAAAAATGCCTTAATTTTTTAGCAGTGCATGAGTCGTGTTTCACCGATCGTGGAGTGAAAAATTTTCTCTAATCTGCGCTGATGGCACGCATTTGTAGCCCCCCGCCAAACGAAGCCGGCAGTCTGGGGCCGGGTACTTTGATTTTGACTGACAAGTGCCGCCTGCCTGCTGATGCTGCTGCTGCTGCAGCTAAAGTTGCTGCTGCAGTTGCAATACGTTGTTGACATGCGCAGCTGCATGCGCTTTCATGTGAGCTCAGCTCCTTTATTGGAGAAAATTATTTCAGACCTCGGCCAGACCCATCTGCCATCCCCATCTCCTTTGCCGTAACGAGCTAAAACTAATTAACCCACGACAGACCCAAACAGCGGACACGGGGTGCATCTTAATTGTCAATAAAACGTTTTAGATTTCTTTATTTTTAATGCTTGCAATACTAAAAAAATTAATGCAAAACTTAACTGCAGATGGATGTGTGTGTGTGGTTTTCGTGTGTGTGTGCATAAATAATAACTAACAAAGATTTAACTAAGATTTCAATGTGTGGCTTAGCCTAGGCTTGGATATAAACAAGGTTCGTTCTCTATGTACATAAACTATTAAGTTCAATAAATTAGCAGAAAAATACTCGTATTGCAAAGTGTACACAGTTTATAACAAATCGTTAAAAAACGTTACATAACCCAAACACCGTTGAAGATATTTTTTGCGTAATCTAAACTATTGTCCATTTAAAACTATCACAAAATAATTGGCAGTTTAATTAACCACTAACTACGGCTGATTTATCAGTTAGCTTAGCCTAAACAATACGGCTAGTTGGTTGGGAATGTGGTGTGTGGTGTTATCTTTAATTATAGGGAATTCGCCTTGTGTTTATCAAATACAAAAATAATGGCAAGTGCAAGTTGAGTTGCTGAACATATGGTGTGTCTAAACATAGTTGTAGATGGTAAATTAATGCTTGTGCCCCCTACTTTCTTTTGATTTCAAATGCCTTTGAAGTTGGCTAACACTCGGCCCAAGAGATCAAAGAGATCCTTGAAGGAGAAAGGAGCGGGAATTTGATGTAGGATAAGCTCCGGATTCGAATTTAGTGGCTCAGGTCAGCAGTGTTCCTCCCTCAAATATTTGGCATTCCCTCTGCTTTAGTTTATGTTTTAAAATTATAAAAAAACTATCTTTATTTAGGCGTACATTTATATATACACACTAACAATATACATTAACACTAGCAAACAAATTTATGCTAATTTGGGCAGAGCAACTAAGAAAACGAATACTTTCAATTTACAGGAAACACGAAGACTCTGAAGAACTGCGGGTGATTGGGAGATTCTAGTTTGGGTTGGGATTTTAAAACCGAATTCTCTTCGTCGTTTATCATTATTCCATTATCGTTTAGCAAGGAAGCGTTTGGCCTCTTTATTATATCACCACTCGTGGAATTGCTTCATTAGCATCGTTACACTTCTATTTCTACACGCCTAGCATATTTATATTTTAGTAGTAGGTATTTATTTAACTTTAGTAATTAAAATCTTCAAAATTTGGCACATTTAAATTTAATTTGTTTGTGTAAATGTACATAAGATTGAGTATTGTATTTGGAAGTGCTTCGAGTGTCTGTCTGTCAGTGTGTTTGTGTATTTGGGCATATAGGAATTGCACAGAAAGCTGAAATAGGAATTCATCAATGACGTAAATTCGAGTTGGGCATAGTACGAGTATTTAGGTATTTAGAGTAGTAATATAGTTTCTCTCTACATTTGTTCATTTTTTGTGTGTTTGTTGGTTTTTGTGTTGTCTTTTGTATTTTGTGAGTAAGGAACAAGAAATAGTTTAGCCGGGATGGGAACACCCCGCTTCCAAGTGGTGATCACTACCGATTGGCGAGGAGTCCATTGGCAGGTGGCAGTATACCGCTAGGTGGCGTGTTGGGATTGCTGATCATCACGGGCAGCGAAGGTGGCACCACTCCACCACCGCCGAGTTGCTGTTGCTGCTGCTGCTGCTGCTGTCGTTGGTTCAACGAGCCACCTGTTGATCCACTGGATCGTGGATGCTTCCCGGAGCCACCGCCCTTGATTAGGTTCCCGTTGTTCTTCTGGGTCATGTGCGTCTGATAGTGCTTGGCCAGATGGGCCTTCTGCCGGAAACTCTTGCCGCACAGCGAACAGGCGAATGGCTTCTCCCCCGTGTGCGTGCGTATGTGCACATTCACCGAGTACTTGTCCTTGAATCCCTTCGAGCAGATGGAGCAGTAGTGCAGCGATCGCTCCTTCCGCTGGGCACTTCCGCCCGACGAGGAGGACGAACTGCCGCCGGAATTGGCTGGCGGACTATTGCTGCTGCTGCTGGCACTGCCACTCGACGAGGAGCTGCCTCCACTTCCGCTGCCGCCGATGAGGGGATTGCTCCCGCTGCTTGGATTGTTGTTGGCCACATTGGGATTATTGTTATTGCTACTGCTGCGTTTGTAGGCCTTCTTGGGCTTGGTCACTCCACCGCCGCCACCTCCTGATCCTCCTCCTCCTCTGACGGCGGAAACAACCACCGTCGAGGCAGGCGAAGTGGAGGTACTCACTTCCGGTTTAAGTGGTTGCGGTGGCTGCAGCGGAACTGTCGCCGCACTGGGTGAGATTTGCATCAGCACATCGCCGGGTGGTCCATAATCCCCCGGCGTGGGTGTGCCCGCCGAGCCGGCAGAGCAAAACTGCTGCACTTCGTTGGCTATGCGCTTGATCTTCTCGAAATCATCGCTGAAGGCATTCTCCAGCGACAGGAACATGTCGTCCACCAGGATATTGCTGCCACCATTATGTTGCTGCTGCTGTTGCTGCTGCTGCTGCTGTTGGGCACTCAGGTGGATACCCTGGGCCTCGTCGAACATCTGGGCGGCACTTAAGGTGGAGTCGACAAAACCCAAGGCGGCTGCCTCATCGGCGAACAGCAGACGCCGCATATCCTCATCCTTGACCACCGGCATGCCGGTCAGTCCGTTCTGCATGTGCAGACCCTTGCTAACATAGCCCTTGCCCTGCAGCGCACTCCGCAGCAGCGATTCCGCCGTACTCTGCTCCGTTTCCGCATTATGATCGGCCATATGCCAGTCGTTGTTGTTGTTCTGGAATTGGGCCAACTGTTGGCCCAAATCATTGCCACCGGCCAGCGAAATGGCCGTGACCAGCGAGGGCAGCGTCTGTTGCGTCTGCTGCTGACCCTGATTTTGGGCCTGGGAAATACTGCTGAGACCATCCGTTCCATTGCCGATCACATCCTTGCCGTCCGTACTGAAGCCGCTGTCGTCGTAGGGATACTCCGACTTTATGTAGCCCGGAAAACTGCCCAGCAAACTGTCCAGATCCAGCGAGGTGGGCAGCTGCTCCGCCTCCGAGCGCTTCAGCCAGGGCTCGCCTCCGTTTAATACTGTCAGGGTGTAGATCTGGCCATCGGTGGTGTCCAAACTGCTGATCGTGTCGCTGCTGCTGCCCGCTCCACTCGAAGCAGCCGAGGAACTGCTCGCATTGGGCTGCTGTTGCTGCTGCAACTGCTGGTGTTGCTGCTGCTGATGTTGCTGCTGGTGCTGCTGTTGCTGTTGGAGGTGGCTCTGCGGCGACGTGGGACTGGGCTGGTTGGTGCTGGCGGATCCACCATTGCTGGCGCTGGCTGTGACCGGCTGCTGTTGCCAGCAGTAGCGGTCGAGGTCCTCGAAAATCGAGCTCGAGTCCAGGCGACTGTTGTCCTTGTCCTGGTGCCAAAACTGCAGAGTAAATTAAATAAAAGAGGATTTTTTAGAGAGGGTATAAATGTTGGATAGAAAGAAACCAGAGGGTTTTAAATTAAAAATGTTTAAGGATATTTTTTTGGGCAATATCTATATTTTAAATTCTTTACCTGTCGGTATTAAGGACTTAAAAAAATACCTTTGCCATAAGAATATGAATGTCAATACTAAAGTTTAAATGAAATCAGGGAGCTTAATTAAAATTATACTTTTTATTTAAAAAATAAGTTAAATTTTTTTTTTTTTTATTCAATAGAAAAATTATAATTGATACTACATAGTATTTTTATATATTTTTTTTAATTTTTCAATCAGTATATCTTGGTGAAAATAATTTTAGGCAATGCCAAAACTATAAAATAATTGCTCAGTAGCTCACCTCGTAGCCCTGTAACGTGGGATCGCCGCCGTTGGTGGTTCCGTTACGATTGCCGACGGGCACCACGACCCCACCGCCGCCGCTGCCTGCACCACCGCCCCCGCCGTCGTGGATCATGCTGCTGTTGGTTCTCGCACCACCGCAGAGGCTCTGCTGCTGGGACTGCGACGTAATGGGCTGGTGAACCACCTGGACGTGGCTGTTATTATTATTGTGACTATGGGGCGGCTGTTGGTGGGTCTGGTGGTGCTGCTGTTGCTGATGCAGACTGACGCCCAGGGCCTCCACGCCCACACCCACGCCGATGCCGATTCCCATGTCGGGACCGGTTACAAAGTCGAAGAAGTCCGCCTTCGAGAGATCCTCGGCACGAAAGGACTCACTGATGTCCATGCCAGCCGCTGCGGACATATCCTCGGTGCCGATCATTTGCTGAGCCTGAAGCGCCAGAGTAGCGCCTTAAAGAACCAGGTACTGGTTAAGTTTTAGTTATGGAGAAGCTAAAAAAAAGAGAAAAATCATTATTTAATTAAATTATCACAATTATAGCATTATTTATAGAAATATTTTTTTAGTTATTGAGGTATACTGCTTAACTTAATGCTAATGCGAATTCTTCAGATAATTACTTAACTTCCTGTAATCAAAGTTTTCACTTGCGTTTAATATGTTGAAATGGATATATGTTTAAAATTAAAATAATGCCTAAAGACCCGTTGTAAGCTAAAAATTCTTAAAATACCCCTAGCCTGTTTTATGACAGTTTCGATTTCGCTTCGGGTTTCGCTTTCAGTTTCTCAATTTCTCCAGCTCAAACTCACACACACGTAGACGCCTGCATTAAAAGTCACACCAATTGATTAAAGCCACTTGTCAGTTGGCCACTTAAGTCAATCAGTCATTCGCATTCGCATTGGCTCATTCTAGCCACATGGCCCGGGCCTGCATTCCGGCCATACTTGCATTTTAATTTGAGGCAGTCTCGGCCGGCTCTCTGCCTTTACCACTGCCTCTGCCTCTTAGCCGGCTATCTGCAAATAAATAAATCAAACTGACAGAAGGGTGACAAAGTGTAAACACATTTGGCGTGCTCGACTCGTAAATCTCTTGGACTTTGGCTAATGCCAAATTCTGCCAACCTGTCGCTGCGACAGTTTTTTCTACTATTTGGATTTGGCCAGCAAAGCACTTTTTGTTTCAGTCCCGTACCACGCTTGTTTCATTTGCATAGATTCGGCAAGTGCCCGGCATTTAGAATAGTTGCAAAAAAATAAATGAAATGAAAACTGAAAAGAGCGTGGCTACCGTGTAGCCCATATCGCGCATACCCCTAAGGTGATCGAACTGACAGTCTGTGGCCATTTCAGTTAGCATATCGCAAACGTACCCCCGAGTCGTGTTCTGGCCAATGTGCCAAATGTTCAAATTGTCAAATTGATTCTACTCTTTTTTGTATTTTCTGTACATTTTGTTTCCCCCAAACACTGACACCGACATCGAAACCGACTCCAAGTCGCTTGGGTTTATGTGTGTATGAAAAATGGACCTTACGGCCTGGCAGCGTGAGAACCACAAACAGAAATGACTTAACAAATTTGCATGGCCCGCTCGTACGTAGAGCTGGGCTGGCTTGCATACTTTAGATAAGGGCAGAGCGTAGAGAAAATGCCGCTGCTGGAAAATATTTCAGATGCTGCTGCTGTAGAAACTTTTAAGTGCAATATCTGGGGGGAAATCAAGTTGGCAGGGGGATCGGGGAATAGCTAAGACAGCAGCAGGCACTCGGAAAAATTATTCCTAAATAAAGTATTCATAAAAAAATGTTTTATATTATTTATAGGATGATGAATTTTTGATAAGCTTTTAAAGTTAAAAAAAGTTATTTAATTTCATTAAAATTGTTAAATTTAAATTACATTTACAAATAATAATAAGATGACTACACACAATAAAATGCACAAGATCAAATCGACAAATGCATGGTAGATTTATGGTATTTATCGTTTTTCTAGGCAATGCTTGTAGTATTGATATTAAATATTGTATTCTCTGACTTCAAATAAGAGAGAGTGGAAGCAAGAAGAAAAAATTTTTTCCATTCAAAATAGAGCGGTGGGAGGGTGAAAGATTCCATATATCAAGCTAAAATTGCTACCAGATAATATCAAATTGATCATCGTTTCATATCAAGATTTTTTTGGGTGCATAAAACAATTCCTTAGTTTGTCCTAGTCGTACTATTTTTTCTCAGTGCCAGTCAGCAGCATCAACACCTGATCGCCAAAGCCACTCAAAGGAGGCAGCGGCTGCCAACAAGTGCAGGCCATTTGGCAAGCGGTCAGTTAACATTTTTAAGGCTCTCGAAAGGTGAGCTCGTTTCCCGGCATTTCCCGCGCCTTTATCGCTGCTCCATCGGTCAAAAAACACAAGAAAAAGAGGAAATTTCTCCCAAACCGAAACGCTGCGTAATCATTTGTGGTCATTTGCCTGCCAACTGACAGCCGCACCGAGCTCTGCCTAGTAGTTTACTTAATAATCATGTTTAAAATGCAGAAATTACTTTATATATACTTTATGGCCAGCAGCGGGGAAAAGCGCCAACAGAACGGCCGAAAAAAAAGCAAAATATGAAATAAAATAATAAGCCTTTGTTTGAGCATTTTGGCGCTCAAATATTGACTAATTTGAGCACGATTATTGTGATTTGGATGCGGGACCGAGTCGGGAAAGAAAGTTGGCCATCCAGCCAGGCAGTCGGCCGAAGGAGACGTGCTCATATAACTGGCGGCCAGCCAATCATGGACGTGGTCGCCATGGATATATCTTTGTATCTGCTGGATGTGGATGTGGATGTGCATGTGGCGGGCACATGCATCTTCCCAGCGGTGCCGTGATGAAGATGCATGCGAATGCGAATTCGAATACGAATAGTGAAGACCAAAGGGGGAGGGGTTATGCTATGGAGATGCTGATGCTGCATGGTAATCGCAATCGTAATCGTAGAAATTGTTAGCGCATTTTGGCCAATGCAAACAGCCTTAGGCGGCATCATTTAAAAAACATGATAGCATGATGGGTTTTATGTTTCGGGGTGACTTTGCCAGAGGGGGGTATTCGATTATGGGCCATAAATAAAAACGATTCAATAATTTAAATGTTTTTAATTAAGCTCGCTCTCTGACATATGTATTTATTTACACATTTTGGTAGCGAGGCAGCCGACATGATTTATTCGAGTATGCAAATTGCGGCAGACAAAGGAAAACGGTTAGGAAATATGTGCAAAAATGTGGCAATTTTCGGCACAATTTCTTTGGTCTAAGCATCGTCTTTGTTGCGGGCGTCAAGAGAAAAAATCCTCAGCATCTCGGTAGTCAAAAGGCAGCCATCGTCTGAGATTAGTTTATGTGCAGGAATTTTTATATTGCGGTTACACAATTTTCTCCAACTTTGTTGGCTAAAACCCCTCACCCCTTTCCTCGCACAATCAATGAAAATCACACGCTTTAGCTGCTTCTGCTTTGGCCGCTTTTTCTTCGGCGAGTTTGTCGCTTTGACTGCACGATTTTCCACGCATTTTTAACCCAAATACCGTGCTAAACGATTTTTTAATGTCTTTACTAACAAGTTTCAATTACCAATCGTCAAATGCGTGAGCATAAAAACTAAAACCAGTTGTACTTAAACCGCACAGCACCCCCTCTATCGTTGGCTCAATCAATTAAAATAATTCGCCTGATTTCATAAAAAGAAGACCAAAGCGCAGGAAAGACAATAAAGGGGAAGAAAACCTGCTGGCCGAGGACTTTGAGCCAAGTTGATTCACGTAGCGCAATCAAATTGCACTTCGATTGGCCAAAATGGAGCCATCAGTGGAAAGCGGCAGTCATCTCATCGACTCGTAATCACATTTATTGAGATAAACGATGGGGCGTTCCGCGTTGCGTATACGCAGTGTGTGCGTGCACAATGTGATAATTGTGCGGGGAAAATGGGTTAATCATGTTTTTCGGTTTTAATGATGAAGAAAGCACAGCTTGAACTTGACTCTGCTGCATACTTTTGGGATCAGGCTGTTGGGTAATCGCAATATTAGCGACTCTCAGTATGGAAGTTGCTAAATTCCTCACCGACGCATAAATTACGAAAGCCATTCGCTGACCGCTCGTAAAATGCAAATTCGCAAAAACGCACACAAAACGCATCAAAAACGCACGGGAGCTCGCAGCTGCAAATTTCTGCCCGGCAAATTGTCATCGTTAGCCAAGTGCGACCGTCGGCCATAAGGCAGTCGATCATTTCTCAGCCAGATAATTATCGCCCACCAGTTGAGAGGCTGCCCCCACCCCTGCCAAAAAGCCAACCAGCCGGATATGCCAGTAGTTTTGGCTGGTAGTCAATTGCTGACCAATTGACCAATAGCTCAGCAAACTGGCAGCTGATAAGAAATTGCTGCTGCAGCTTCAGAGGCTTATGCTTCAATTGCATGCAAATGCATAATTGAATCAAATGGTCCTCTCCCGGTCGCAGCAACTTTCGAGCCCCGCCTAATGAAGTAATCAACGGCCGGCATCTCAAGCTTTTTGCTGCCATTGTCAATCAAAAGTCGCGTTTTTATTGCGCCTGCGTTACAAACCAAATCGCATCAAGATGTATTAATCATTTCGGCCGCTGCCTGCGTTGGCGTTAGCAACATCCAAGTTGGCAGAGGGGCACAAAGAAAAATTTCATGAATATCTTGGAGTATTTGAAAAATAATATAATTATATTTTAGCAAGTTTTACACTTTTTTTCATATAAGAAAAACATTAGATTTGTTAAAGGAAATATAAAATATATCATTAATTTATCATAGAAATTTTAAAAAGATATAAAGAGGTTTTCCAAAAACAATATAAAAGCAAAATAATATATATTTCTGCAGCCAACAAAAACCTTGATATGAAACGAAGATAGATTTGATGTTATCAGAAATTACTATGCGCATATCGATTTGATGATCGATTGATATTGATTATAGAAAGTAGGGCCCTAAAGTTCATAGGAGAAATGTAAAAATGCCAACTTTATCGGTCATTTTATCGATATATTTTTTTCTCAGTGCAGGGGCAGCCGGCAACAGTTAGCAGCAACAACCAACAAGCAACAACCGGCAACGAAACGGCATTGCCATTGCTTTATCAGCTGGCGCAGATCTCTTTGGCATAGCCAGGCGTATAAAAAAACGCCAAATAACTACAGGCGAGACGGGCATGATTAAAATGCGCAAAAATGGCAAACTCCAAATGGGCGCTGCTCGGCGGTAACGGCTACAGCAACAACAACTGAAACAGCAACTACAACAACGGCGTGTGATGTACACGCGGCGCATTTCAATTCCATTTGATTAATGACAAAGCCGTAAAAGCAACTGCATGAAGGGGGCAACCAGCTAACGAAGATGTTGCTGATTGGCCCGTTGTCCGTCTTGGCCACAATCCCATTTGGATTCAGATTCGAA